GAATCTGTCCATCTCGTGTGCGATGGTGTGCCTCATCATTCTGGGCTCGTCTGCCCTTATTGGCGTGTTCGGTCTTCTGAAGCACCAAATCAGCGCTGTTCTCGTCACAGGAGTTATGTACCTACTGGCAGGTCAGTTTATGACGGGGAGAGTGACGGTGTCCGTGGGCAACGAAATTACTTCATCAAGCCTCGCAATTTTCTGTAGTATTTCGCAAGACATGTCAACCAACACACGCACACAAACGAAACGAACTGATCTACACAGGCAAATCTGTGTAGCGTCTGGATCAGCAATTGGCTGTGATCAAAATAGAAGCTCCTTTGAAACTAACCAATTTACTGCATGCGACAGAATCTTTATGAGAAATTGATAGTCGCTAAGCGATACAATTTCTTAGGTTATACGAAACTGCCACTTGTACAGGCCCTGAGTTCGATGACTCCCGTCAAAACTCCATCTTGTTTCCTCAATATCAGTTTTAATCAGTTTGAAGATTTATTATCGCGTCCAAAGGAGCCCGAGAATGGACCTTCAATCCAGTCCGCGCCGTCACGACCTACTTCTTTGAGGCCATTTTAATATTATTCTCCCTTCTATGTCTAGGTCTTCCAAGTAGAATCTTTCCTTAAAACTTACCGATTAAATTTGTCTCTCTCGTGCGTTTCACGTGCACTGACCATACACGCTTTCTTGATTAATAAGTTCAGTACGAAAATGTACATTCATCAACAGAATTTCAAGTTTGTGTTGTTACTAGGCCTTGGTGTTACTCGCATCTGTTCACGGGCTCTAGCGTGCAGAAAATTCTGTGACTCTCCAAGTGGAAATTTCGTGACAGGTGACCTAATTTTGGCCTACCACAATAGGGAAAACTTATTGATTGTCATCTGCTGTCACAAGGGCCCCTTGTATATGCACTAATTTAACAAGACAGCATTATAATTCTGAAATACATTTCTTGTTCCGTAGAATATGATTTCTCTTGCTTTAAAAAATATTTTGCTTAAAAGGTTTGAACGCATGAAGGCACAGGATTGTCCATTTTTAAATATTACGTCAATAGCTCGACATCTCTCTCTCTCTCTCTCTCTCATATTGCAATGACAGTCCACGTGCACTAATTTAATCAATAAACAGCCAAATACCTGTATCTGAAACGTATTTTATCGCAATAGGTATCTTTATTATATAAATTAAATTGAACAATCACTACTTATAAGCTCCACATGGACAATTTTAACAAAAAGATTTATTAAAATATTTAATATTTAAAAATAACCGTCAATCACAATAAAATTAAAAGATTAAAAGATTAAAATATCATATTATGTTCCCTATCGAGTACTCGATTTACATATGGAACTTACACAACATGTTTCGGCTATATATAGCCATCATCTGGTGTATTATATATAAACTTTTCACTGAATTACTTTTTAGGATTTTTAATGATTTTTCTTCTGATGTTTTGTCCTTTATATTGATTCACCATTTTAATCTTTTAATTTTATTGTGATTGACGGTTATTTTTAAATATTAAATATTTTAATACTATTAATTCACAATATGACGCATCTACAATACCTTAAAAAAGATTTAATTAAGATCACTACAATAATTAACAAAAATTCGACCATAATTTTAACCTATAAATCGAACTGAGTGTTCTGATCAGATGGTATCACCATTATAGATAAACAATTTCTTGCCAGTACGTGGATTATTCTGAATGTTTTATTTCTCATGTTACAGCAACTTTTGCCATTTTCACACTTACCATCATCCATTTCAAGAGGCAGCAGGTCAAGGATAAACCAGAAAAGACTGCAGCTGACTGTTTCCTGACCGGCAGTGTATTGTCCGCGCTGACGGACGGGATGTCGCCGTCTAGCTCAGCGGTACTGGCCCAAGTGCAGGTGGACGCTGACATTTTCATGGCTCGAGTTTTCACCACGTCCTGGAGCTTAGATCTGGGCTGGGGGGGTGTTACCCTCTGTGTCCTATCCAGCTTACTGTGGATAATACTGTCCAAGATAATGAGGTACAGTCCCCTGTCCACGTTGCCCTCGTAGTGACTAACGTGACCCAGGGCTTGGATCTAAGTCATGCTCTGGGCGTGAAGTCAAAGTCCTGGTGATTCCTGGCTGAGTTATTCACAAACAGATTCTTTTAGAAGGTTGCGGTTTGAAGTGGTTACAACTTAAAACAATGGATGCAACCCCTGCTACATTTTCGCTTAAATTATAAGTTTTAAACGTGAATTACCATAAATATAGGAAAAAACAAGAAATTCTCTTACAAGTCAGCTCAAGAAGTTAGTGTAGAAGTAGGCGTAGACATATATATATAAGCAAGGCAGGAGAAAAAAATCAGCAACTAATTAATAATATAGTCAAGCCTATATAAAATATTTAAATGTGTTTACCATAAATTAATTAATGCTTACTATTTAAGTATCAAGAAACAACCTACAAACTATCAGTTTAGTGATAAATTTAGGAGAAGAATAAATTCCGGAAATCTTATTATCCAACTTAAAAATTATCATCCCATCTAATTTCTAAAATATTACAAGATATAAAATGCTGACAGGAGATGATGATGGATTTGAAATTAGTATATAAACAGAAAAAAACCATGAAATGAGTTTATAGAATGATCAATCATTCACCTTAAAGTCACATTTTTCAGTTAATGAAGTAGACTTTTAACTAAATTTAATTAAGTAGTAGCAAATGGACGAAAGAGATGTTACTCAGATATTATATCTTAGAAGCAATGATTCGTGATACTATCTAAAAACATTTCAAGTCAGTAGCCCAGTAATTGTAGACATGCAAGCCCAGTTTAGGCATGTAACTGACAAGAAGTATCAGCCGCGCTGACTTTCTGGAGATGTAATTATGGTTTTGTATACATGCCACGAAACATAAAATCACCAATGACTGTAATAACTTCCTCGAAGAAACAGAACTACAAACTGAACACATTAAGGGAAACTTTTTTCACATATAAGAAACAATTCTTAAAATTAATTTACAACTGGAAACTTCTTAATTTTAAAATCATGCGTATGTCTGCAGGTCATCAGACCAGAGTTCTGTCAGACGCTGAGTAGAGAAGTAGATTCCAAAATATAATAGATACGTTCCAATTTATATAGAGACTATTAAATTAAGTAGCTGAAACATTAGATTCCGTCCTATATAACCTGAAGACGGCTGAAATTAAATTTAAAACGAGCTAGAATTTTATCACGTAAGTGTTTAAAATCAACAGATGTAACAGAGTTCAGCTAGAAACATTCAGAATGCATGGGAGTAAAGAACCTCATGTGGAAACTATGTATTTAGATATCTTGAATATTATAATGCGACTATACAGACATTTCCAAACACACCCATTCGTATGTTATAAACATTGTACCATAATGTACCCATTATACATAAATACTTGAGTGTTAAAAAATGAAACAACCAAATCCGTGCTGTAGTTACAAATAAAATAAAATAATTATAATCCTTTCTAAAAATATGTAAACGTTTCTGTTCGAGCCAATGTCATTATTATAAAAAGTCCTGTCTTATGTTGGAGTGTGCGCTTGGGTGTGATGTATGTTATTTCAAGTCGCATAATTGCCTAAAATTTCAGTGATGCACAAACACATTTTGGGATGAGCACGTTTTCCGCCTGCCAGCCATTGGGCCAGCTGGCACTGCGGATAGACAGTCCCGCAATACAGCACGATCAATGCTAGCGTCCTCCCCCACTCTTCCATCACTTACCACGAGCCACGAGATAAATATCTGAGAAAATTTATTTTTAAACATAGCTTTGCTTTAGGATAGAGAAGTAGCTTCTTTTTCAGAATGCTACAAAAATTCGCAATACTGAAGACCTGAGAACTAGAACTTCGAGATGAACCTGAGGTCAGAGATGCAAGGTTTAAATTTCAAAAATAATTGTCGCACTAATGTTTAGCTAATTACCCCAGCCCTTTTGTTACCAGCACAAAAAATGTCAAATTATACACAAGGTATACCAGTACCAAAGTATCAAAACATATAAATCCATACATGTTGTCCATCCCTACTTCCAAATGCCAAAACGAAAAATAAACTCACACGCCCCTGGGTGCACCGATCTCCGCATTTGTTTAAGGTCAGCAGAGGCCAGCAAAGGTCATAACAGACCATCCTCTGGGAGTATTAGGGACCCAAACACCCCACAAGAGAAAGTGTCATGTCGTTGACAAACAGCTGATTACAACTGACCTGAGCTTCGAACAGGTAAGTCACTACTATCGGCACCTCGTGGCATCTTACCTGTGTTGAAACAGACAAAGTGAAACCAAGCACCGATTCATTCACGTGGTGCACTCCATATTAATCTTTTTCCTAGTCATAATGCTTAAAACACATCAGTAACACTTTCCATGTCAGATGTAAATTTACTGTTTGAAGTCTGCAAAGATATAAAACATGACAAAATGTTAACACAAAGAGTCAAATACTTTTCACTTCCAGGCCTTGGCTTTTTTACTCTTTACAGATGAGCAGATGTGTGGGTTTGTCCAGCCCTGAACTTCTTAATTATCTGTTCTGTCACAAAGACTGTGAAGTCTACACACGTAGCATACTGGTCTCGTAACACCAGAAAATATCGTATACAAACGGCAAACGAGATACCCTGCCACGAAGAGCCAGAGGGTTTAAAATATATACTGATATTAATAAAAGATGAAAGCTCACCTGTTTCAGCAACTTTCGATAAACCTTCTGCAAAGTTCAGATAAACTATTTTCACACAGTTATGCTTTGACCTCCAATAACACACACAACTAAACTGAAAGCAAATGCATTAGAATGTATTAAAATCACAGATATTTCGACACAGAGTACAAGATGCCAAGGCTTATAAAAATGCCTTTCGAGTTTCTGTCTAAATCACATATCAACACAAACATGTCTAACTGAAGAAGGAGGTGGCAGGTTCCTAATACCCATTTGTAACCACCTACATCACTACACAGTATTGCAACCCAGGACATTACACTCTAAAACATTCATCACAAGAGGAATTTGTATGAAATAATTCACTGATCGGTAGGACACAGCAGTTACGATAATGAGAAGCTGGAAATCATTTCTCGTTGATGTACGAATGCTAGGTCCAAGACGACAGACACAAAGGGTACCAACCTCTCAGTGGGCGCGGTTAATGACACAGGGAGACAAAGGCTGAGGGAACTAGATTTTAAATACTGAGAAAACCACGTATTAACTGCCATTTCATGTTAAATTGTTTCCACTTGGGGAAGAGGGGAGGAATTTCAGGTTAAACAATTTTTCCAATTTGTGCAATCTTTATTAAATTAATCAATATACAGCGAAAGTCATAAAAATATATGTGAGAAACATGATCAAACATGCTTCACGTAAATCAATATCTTGTGTGCACCAAAAATTCCATTAGATTTTTCACTCAAAATACTTACTTCTTCTGCAGCCCCACACATATTCCACGTACGCTGCATCCATGTTGTGCTGTAAAACTGCAATACGCACTTTTTGTCAGAATCTTTCCTATGATTTCTGTATGAGAACAAATCTGAGAGCGTTCTGTATACAGACCGACTACACAAACCTCCTTTCAACCTACAGCACGGCAGGAATTGGCGACCCTGCCAGACACTGTTCTCGCATAATGCTACTCTAGACAGATGAGAAGGAATATCAGCTGGACAAATGTCAAAATTCAAGAAATATCCAAATTCCTCTTGCGTACTATGCTGAGACACTCAATTGAAATGCACATATAAATATTACAAACTAACGTAATTAAGTACTGGGATACTAGGAACGACCCGTTCTTCAAGTGCCTGAGCACTGCGGGTCCCAACTTTTTCGTTGGCTTGATCTGTAGACATTCGGTAGGACTCCTTGGATGAGGGATCGGCCCGTCGCAAGGCCTCTACCTGTACATAGGATAGCACAACACAGACAACCATCCATGGCTTGAGTGGGATTCGAACCCACGGTCCCAGCGACCGCGCGGTTACTGCACGTAATTAAGTAGTCATTCTAAAGCAGCTGACAGTACCCAAGCTGCTCAATAAATTCCCCACCTCTTACAGAAACATCACTCACCCTGAGCCAGATAAATCCAATGTCAAGATCTTCTAAGCGGTATCATCCCTTCAAATTTTCCAGTCAAAACATTGTATGCATTTCTGATCTATTCTACGCATGCTACATGCTGTCTCCATCCAATCCTCTTAAATTGGTTGTCCCATTGATATCTGGTGGGATGTGCCAATTATAAAGTTCCCCATTTTTATCACTAATTGTTCCCTTTTAGGTGTTCTTCATTTCAGAATAAATTATCTGAGTAACTGACTGATGGAAGGCAGTTTTTCGTAACAATAATTTAGGCTCACAGTGCAGGAGTGGCCTAAGGGAAAACACTAAAATTAGTGCATGATTGACTTACGACACAACACAGAATCACGTTAGTGAAAGAACAATCGTGTTGTAGCTTAAGGAACGCCTTTGGAATATTGGTGTACTCCAAAGAGTAGCCTATTGCATTCCAATCTTGTTATTTTGGATTTGAGAACGCTGCCAGTGGCTTAGACTGCACAGTATCGAATGATAGGATGAAGACGGCTATCTACTGGGTTGTTAACCGTATATTGTGGTAGAAGTTTATTGAAGTTTCAGAAGTGCTTACTGCCTCCATCATCAGCACGAGTGGGACCGAGATTTAAATCCGTGATTTTCCGAATATCGGTAGGAGTGCTCAACATTTTGCCTCAACGATTTGTGTCTTGTAACAGAAATTTAAACGCGTTTCTTAAAAAAAAAGAGGGCATTCAGTATACACGTCTTAAAGTAATACATATCAGTGGATTTGAGCTAGTTAACCGCGCAAGGGTTCGGTGCTTGGGATTTACACTGAGGAACAGCAAGTTGTCAGACGATGCTTTGAGACCCCCAATTAGGCGACACATTCTGATTGTGTTAGTCAGTCGTGCGCGTCGCCTAGCGCGAAGCAGACGGTCAGAATGTGGATGAGAAGCTGTCGCCTGAATGCGGTGAAGAATACAATAGTATCCCTCCAGAAGGGGACTCGAGGATTTGCATCACGTCTCTTACCTGTGCGCGAAACACGTTGCAGACTTTGTCGTAGTCCAGCCACTAACGAATTCTCTGCATTACCATGAAATTGATCCAAGTATCACTTTCAGCGGCTGCCGGTGAACTCGTCATTTGGCTACTGCTATTTGGAGAGATGACATGTTTTAACTTATTTCTCTTGGCTTTATTTGTGGTTAAAATAAAAAAACCCTGGGGCTGTGTAATATCGAATTATACTACGAGTGATGAATTGGAAAGGATATGGAAGGAAGCGATCACAGCCTGATCGAAGGCTCTGTGTCTGAATATGACCCGAATAAGAAAAGCATGGAACAACCTCTTGATAACCAGTCTCAGATCAGACATTGAACCGTGGCCTCCGGAATAAGAAGCAGTTGTACCACCCACCGGTCGCTTACAATCGTTCAGGTGGGCACAGAGGAAGTATCTCTTCTTTATTCAGGATGTTTTGTAAAAATATACTCTTCACTAAATGGACGGTAGTCGCTTCATAACATTTGATAAGTTGGGAAAGTTGCATGCATGGGGAAATTAAAACGCAAGGACTTTAGTTGGAGAACCTGAAAAAATACATCGGGAGATAGAGGTGTGGTTGGGCTGATAATATTAAAATGTATCTTAACAAATTAAGGCGGAAGGTGTCGGCTGGGACCACTGGTGGGATGTTACAAACACGTGAATCCATAATTGGGGATAAAATGACCAGATTAACAACTACCGTCTTATCAAGGATAAAAATGTATCATTATTATTAATGTTCTGAAACATGCCTTCCGACATGACTCCAGATAGAACAGGCTTAGTCACCCCAGAACCAGGAGCTGACAACGTGTACCTCGAAAGTCTCGCTGAAAATTGCTGACAGAACGTGACCTGTCATCAGCACATCACACTAATTGGTTTGCTTTAACACAAACACGTTTCTGCAGGCTACGTAATTGGAAGAAGCATCAGAGTTCTTGGGCGTCTGTGTTGGTTATTGCTAGCCAGCGTCTACCACGACAATGCGATCCATCCGACATTGTGTCTGATCCAAGTCGTTCTTTGCTCTGTTTGAAAGAGTTTTGATATTTGTTAACCATTTCCGGAAATGACTTGCAACCTTCATTTACCAGTTCCATCATTTTGGCAAGAAAACAGACTCGTTTAAAAGAAAATACGTGTTTTAACAGGGCCTATTTCAGCGCAAAAAAACTACAATTTATGTAGTTTTGAGGCTTTTTTGTTTCATTTAAGCATAAATGCTATATTCTGTATTTACAAATACGAATATCATGTAAATTCCAGGGTTCCTGGGGTCCAATGTTTTGAAGACGATCCAATTCACGCCGCAAAGAAATTACGTAGTCCGGTTTGTGAACGATGTTTAAGAAAACAATCGATGTTTACACCGAGAATCGTATGAAACACACAACAATTTTCAATCACGTGTAATAGATTTTTACCACCAGGCTTTAACATTTTGGAAAATTCGTGCCAAGGAAACGTACATTTACTCGAGGCAGGGCTGTAACGACATGGGAAATAATTTTTCTTTCTTTCCGCACTGACAAAGATAACGCACAAAAGTAAATCTTTAAAGAGCGTAAATAAATATCTGGGCAGATACGTCATACAGAGACAATTTTACGCTAAGAAACGTCAGATACGATTGCAGAATGTAATTCAATGGTTGAATAATATAAAATATGGAAAGGTAATCATAGTGCGTGTCTTCCCCATACTTTTACAGCAGGCTCATGTAGCCATGAACCTGCTGCCTCATTCTGCATTCCTTTCAGTTATTCAATTTACAGAAACCATCTGACGTAATGTAATTGTAGCAGTACTCTAAAATAAAAGCGTGAATAAATGTAAGGAACCACAAATAAATCCCATCAAACATGTCTAATGGATCGAAGCTCTTTCAGCCTTATCGATAAGTAAAAGTACGCGTTACGATTTCAGAAGAAACTTATCTGTGTCTTTCGAAGCCTGGAACTAGTTTCAGAGCGGGAAGGAGTAAAGAATAAAGCAAAGACTGAACTCAGGAAGCGGAACGGGTGGCAACTGCATCACGTCTGTTTATACAAGCAATCCGCGGTCGCTTAAGAACGGGTTCGGAAACAATTTTCACTTGTTTGCCTTTGGTATTAGTTACTGAAAGTGCGGCGTCGATTCTCCGATCATGTTTAATCCGACACGAATAATAACACCGAGAAAGGAGTGAGGAGGAGGGGGAGGGGGGGTGTAGGGAGGACGGAGAGAAACGAGGATCGATCATGTGTGCGCCGGGATGCGGCACTGCCCCTGATACCTGAAATCATCGAACACGTACAATATGGTCACTTCACAACCCAGTCATTAAACCCCGACGAGGAACACAGGCTGTTCCAAAGTAACTGTCGCGTTGTTGACAATTCACAGAAACACTGACATTTCATTATCTTCGTTTATTTGTTTAACCTTGGTTTATTTAATGACGCCATCCATAGGTCAGCGCTGAATGATGAGGAATGAATTGGAAAAAATATTTCTGCATTTTTCAACGATTATCACTCGAGGTGAAGTAAAAGGATTGGGAAATGATTTGAGCAACAGCGTGTATTTTCTGTTCCTGATCCGCGGTACTGCAGTTCTGTGGTTCGTACTTTTTGTCTGGCGTAAACCAAGCAGACTGTTGCTTACTCCGCAATAAGCAGGTTCGTGTCGACCGATACCCGATGGAGCTCCTGCCACAGAATTCTGATTTGTAGTTATTTCTCACCGCGATGCGATGGTTTCTGAGATTACACCGAAATATGACACAATGCATCGAAATAACCAAATTAACAACAAAACTGGTTTTCGGATTTACCTCTTAACCCTTCAAATCCGACCAAAGAAGTTGAAACTGTGGATTTGTGTTCTCGTTTATAGCTCGAGAACGGATAAACCGATTTGCACCAAACTTGAGACCAGGAACGGATAACGGAAGGGTAAAAACTCCGGAAAAATTATCCCGAGTTCAACTCCAGCTGATAGCATTTCCCGTAGCCCTGGAAATAAGCACGAAAGAATAAATGCGCCTAGAACCAAGTTTCAAAAATTATCCTGGGTTCGAGTCCTCACGAGGATATTTTGTAACTTTAGACACCAGTGCTTAGTGTAGCCTTGGCTTGGGATGCGATCCGACACGACACTGGTAAACGGACGACGTTGGAAAATCGACGCCAACCGTCGCACCTCCGCGAAAAGGCGCCATATTTAATATGGGTAAGACTGAGATGACTGTAAACTCGAAGTTCCAAAATACGCATTTATGGAAAAAAACAAAACAACGAACGGTGGAGAAGCTGCGAGCGTGTTACGGTACTAGTGCACTTAAAACTTCCTTAGAGTGGACTGCTTACAAGAATGAAGAAAACACGTAAACAAATGCATACATCACAACCGGTTCAAATATTTACGATGGATAGACGTCACTTACGTTCGCCACATAACTTACTTTCAGCGTCCTTAAGAAATTGGTCTTCGTATCACGCGATGTCTCTGCAAAGAAGGTTGATTATTTCCTTTTCACTCCGATGTAATGGCTTCTCCTGGCGTAAATACATCATAAAACGCGGGCATGCAATAGCTCAGGTTGTTAGGAGATGGATTCTTAACGCAGAGGTCCGGTTTCGCACCCACAGAAGTCCATGTAGGATTTTTGATGGACAAAGTGGCACTGGGACAGGATTCTCTCCGAGTCCTTCGCTTATCCTCTGTCAGCCTCAATCCATCACTGCCCTATATTCACTCATGCATCGTCTGGGGGTGGAAAAGGGCCCGTCAGAGGCCCAGTTCCACACAGACGTAGACTCAGCCATCGTAACAGAAACAATATATAAAATAAGAGAATTATGTTGTCATATAGTTTTACTCTGAAGGAAATATGGAAGGTAAAGATGGTTCTAATCAGGTGTGAGCGCGTAGTGTTGGAAACGAATTAAATTCGGGGGCTACATTCTGTAAGTATAATTTACGATGTGACGTAATATTGACAGATGTGATTCCTGGAAATGGAAAATTAAATTAATTACAAAAATATTTTGTGATAAAATTAATCTTCAGATTAATGTGCCTGCTTAACTAGAGTAGATGGATTAAAAACGATAAAAAAGTAATGACTAGTGAAAATACGAATTGGATTGAAATGGAACACAGGACCCAATGTATGTTTTGTGATGTTGGTAACGTTCACTTCTACAACAACAGAGATAATTTCTAGAAGTCATATAAATATCAATTTCCCAAAAAAAAAATCTGTTTTACTGAGTTTTTTTTTTATAAAAAAATGCATCCATCCTGTAAAAATTTGCATTATTGATATTAAAAATGATACCAGTAATACAAATATTCTGTCGTAAACATAACTTTCGTGTTTCACCTTATTCTCTTTAAGTCTTAAAATTATTAAATATCCTGACAAAACAGTATGTATGATAATTTGCACATTTAAGAATAAATATTATCAACGCAAATATAAAATGCAATGGCCCGTTTATTATTAATTAGTGTGGCATTAAATTGTTAACGAAACACTTATATTGTGGTTAAATCGCACAAGAAAATACGCTTCGTAACCGATTTTCGTAAACAGGTTCCAGCGTCAACTGTAATTACCCTTCAAAAACACATCTTTCAAGACGGGGGGGAGAGACAAAATATCAATAAAGTAACAATTAAGACTAAAGTAATTATTTTTCATTACTCTAGATATACAGAGAAAGTTTCCTGAAAATTAAAATTAAGAAACAAACAATTACGAATAAAATTAATCAAATATCCAAGCAAACGACGCGGGATTTTCAACAGTCTGGGATGATTCAGGAGTCGATGAGCTTTTTAAGCGTTCAAATATATTACACTGAATACACACCATTTTTCTATAACGTTTCTGAGTGCAACACTGTTTGTTCGTCTCTGGTTTCATCACAAATAAACATGGCTTAACGACCCACGGCGTTTCTAGTTCAAAGGCCGAAAATATCTGTGCATCGTTAAACTAAATACATGTGCATGGCTAGAACTTAAATTTTATTGTTTTAGTCTTTGGCACTTTGAAGAAGAAAAAATTCAGTTTGTTATATACACCAGCACCTCACCCTGAGCGAGAGGATCGTCTGTCTTCTTCACTATTTACATAGAAAAAACACTGATTTAACACAAGTTTCCCCACTGAAGTGTCACTTCATGACAAAGTCGTAGTACAACATGTTACGCTGTCACGAATCAATTCTTGCTGGAAAATTTGTGGGGTTGTTTGGCGCGAAAGCGATCAAGAAAGCCGTGTACAAACCAAGGGCGTCGTTAATAAAACCACAAACAAGATCTGTGATCATAATGAAAAACCAAAACATCAGTTTATCTGCGACCGTCGAACCTCGGTTTTGTATCGGCACCATGCACTGCAATAATGTGCCCAAAAAATGTTGCCAACAGTCACATTTATTACGAAAACTGACTTTATGATCGATTTTAAGACGATTTGCAAGGGTGGAGTTGGACGTAGAAAGTTGACTGACCAAGAACAGTTAACCTCTGAACAGCGAAGTAAAGAACTGAAACATCAGACCAGATAGAGCGCTCCGAAAGGAGCGAGTTGCTCTAATAATTATAAAAAAGTGTAGAATGTTTAATATCCTGACAATTTCACAATTGTTGTCGCCATCGTAAATCGCAGTAGAGTGGTTTAACGTATAAGAAAGTACGAATTTCAGCACAACAATGCGTCCACGTATAATTTATCAACATTGTTAGTATATTTGTACTTCAGTGAAATGTTGTTACAACAATACGATAACCGTAGTTAAGATAACTTAAATATCTCACTTTAAACGGATTATACTGGGATATTTTTAACCCTGGAATAAAACTGTAATGTCGTAAGAAACGAGATATTTTTACTCATGGCTAAGTAATATCACCAGAGATAAGAGTTTTGGTATTTTAAGTGGTTTCTATACAGCTTTCTTGCATTTAAGAAGAGCTTGGCTTTAATTATTTATTGGAATGATGTTGTTGGAACTCATCTCTTCACGGTGTTAAAGGTTACCACGAAAATGTGAAATGGGTGTTGTGTGATTTTTTTTTTAAAAAAACTGCCAAGTCGTACTTGGTATGTCGTAACTTCTTAGCTTAGGATTACTTGAACTTTTCACACTTATATAACTTGCGGAAAACAAGAAACAAAAGTCTCTTTCTTATTTGGACAAAACTATTTTCAAAGTTTCTCGTTTTCTGGCTAGTCACTTCATTAACATCCCCTTGGAATCTCAACTCACCCCTTTCTATACGAATTGAGAACAAAGTATTCAGGGGAACAGGAAATTCACAACTTTTAAGCGAGTTTTTAGATAATTCGGCAAATGAAACACATTTTTGCATTCGTACGTGTTTTCAACACAACTGGAAAATTCATCTTGCATCAATTTGCAAAATGTGGTGACGTAAACATTTCCAATATGGTTCGGGTTTTTTTTTTTTACATTTACAATTGTCATTGTTACTAAGGGGTTCATTATCTCGTACAAATGAACAATAACCTCAGTAACAAGTCACTGCAGGAATTTTTGGTAAATATATTGCGTTTTCTACACAGTACAACCGCGAAGCGACCTTACGCACTGTGGGTCGGCCTAAGCTGACGAGATGAAGTCTGCTTTTCTGCATGAGTGCACTAAGAGAACTTGATGCTGTTATCTTACTGGTGGAAGTCAATAATTTTAATATTTTCTGTGTTCCTGTAGACAACGTTTATTTTTCCAAACATTATTTGGACATCACCGCATTTTAGAAATAGAAGAAAGCTGAATTAGAAAATCTTTTTTCACCATCAAATGATTGAAAGTTCATTTTAAATTATCGATAATTAATTATTTTTCCAGTCTTTTAAACGTGTAACCATTTAACCAATCACGGCTGACGAGCTATTTGGTTACGTTACCAACAGAGGACATATAATGCGCAGGGAAATGTAATAAAAACCTAAAACATGGTTCGCGTAAACATTAATGGATTTGAACTCTTTTGTTTCGAAGAAAATAGAATGCAGTTTGTGTAACGTAGCAACACGGGGTATTTATAAACGGCCCTAAGGGAACAATACAAACACGACTTGCCACTAAGAACCACAGTACTCGGCCACAAAGTTCAAGGAGAAAATAAAATCTAACGTATTATTTAGACTCAAATAGAATTACGTAAAGGTCGATTAAGAACATGTCATATTTATAAACTTAGATTTAATTGTTCGTAAAGCTTACTTGGATAAATTTAACTCAACTTACAGAATAGAGTTTAGAGTTGCATACCATTAAGGCGGCCAGAGACACACATTTCGTATTTTAATACCAGCGCAACGAAAAGGGAATATGAAATTACCCAACCTGTAGAAGCGACCAATGAAAAGCATGTAAATATTTTATAATGGAATATTCCTGAGGTCTGTGATTACTGAGGTCAAAATTCTTTACGTACTTTTAATACTCCGCATTGTTTCTATGGCGGAATTTATGTAAGCAACAGCACAAACTGCTCATATACGTATGAAAACTATGAAAGAATACTCAAATCACTGACAGATGTCAGTCGAGTAGTTAAATATAATATTAAAAAAGTTAAAACAAATTCGGCCATTAAAAAGTACAATTTACAGAATATTTTTATGCACCGGAAGAACGTACATTTTCCATCACTTTGAAAAAAAGTAGATAATATTTCTAAAATTTCCAATCACTTTTAACTATTAGTATCCTGCACAACAACGCAGTGTGGATTTGTACGTAAATACCAACGTTTCGGAGAAACATACCGTCTTCATCGTCAGGGCTGAAAAATCGGTGGCAATTTCAGCCCTGAAGATGGCGGCAGCATGTTTCTCCGAAACGTTGGCATACGGCGTTACGATCCAGAAGACCAGCATCGACGGCTTCATCGCCGTGAGGACGTCAAACGTCTTTGTTCCGCCGGAGTTCCACCTGCACACTTTGTTCTCTTACCTGCAGGAATGAGACCCAATAAAACACTTTTTGAGGGGTCAGTAAAGAAGCGAAGGTTGAGCATTTCAGTGGCCTGTGAGGGCCATCACGAGCCCGGTCAGCACGATGCCCGGGGACGACCACCTCAGCACCGTTGAGCAGCCTGCAACAAACATACATACAACCGAATCTTAAGTAGGATTTGAGGTTCTCACGGCTTTGAGTCCGAAGATGGCTGTCTTCTGGGTCAGTGGTATTCAACCATTTTTTGTTCGCGTACCCCCAGGTTGGTGCCACGGTGGTCTAGCGGTTAGAACGCTGTCCGTATAATCCTGGGGTCTCGGGTTAGATTCCCGGCGGTGCCCGAATTTATAACTTGTGTTGGGCAAGGCCGTGGTCTAGGCAACACGGAGTTTTCCTCCGGGGCTTCCCCGGTTTCTCCGTGGCATCCCAACAATTACTCCATTCACACACAGAAGAAGGCAATGGCAAACCACTTCTGGATCATCTGCCAAGAACGTGTATGAACAGGTCCCAGTCCGAGAAAAGGATGGAAGGATCCTGTTCATATGGACCTGTCGTCAGACAGAACGCTAAAATAATAATTTATAGTCCCCACTTTGGCCACCAGATGGCAGTGTCTACCTCAGGAATTTCTTCATCCCTAATTTTGTTACCGCCGATCATAGGATATCCAAAGGGACGAATTTGAAGTCGTATAGAACAGCGCAGCGTCCACATAAAATTTTGTCAGAATTTTTTTAAAATTTCACGTACCCCTTAAGATGTCTTCGCGTACCCCCGGGGGTACGCGTACCCTAGGTTGAATACCACTGCTCTAGGTTGTAGAGCCGTTTACAGACGTTTCAGAGCTTGTGGTCGTTAAACCTCCACTAGACTGCGCGACTCCATAACCCCGTAGGCAGCCATCTTTAAATCTTAAAATGTTCCTCTTCTTTACAATATACAGCGGGATACGACAGGGAAAGCAAACAGTGTATGTTGGCAACACTGTGGTTCAAAGGCTAACTTAGTCCGTAAATGTTAATGTGTGCACGCAATAAACTGTCTTCTACTAACTTAGAAAAATGCGCTGAACGCTAAACTCGTATACAAAAACACAAAATACAATGACATTATATTAAGAAGTGGCCTTCGGTTTCTATGCACACGGCCGGGCCACACATTTCTGTAAGTATAAAGCAGGTAATTCGAATACGTAGAGATACAGAATATGCTGTTCCTTTGTAGATGCAATAAAGAAGGACCATCCTTTTCCGGTGTTCTGCACCGCGTCTCCACGTAGAAAACATAAAACGAGACACAGAGAATAAGCTGGTAAAAATATAACGCATCCTCCCTGTATGATTTAAGAAGTCGTATCCCGGTCCCTGGGGGCCACCGAGCATTCTTATTCTTAGAAATATATGATGATATTTTTATTTGAATACGTCGCTAGCATACTGAGCGAGTAGGTCCCAGAGATACAATACGAGACCACTATTTCGAGAACTTAACTTGCCTTGTAACAGGATTTAGAATAAAACGAAGTCCCACGTTAAATTTAAATTTACAATTTAAAGAGAAGCTAAAAAATCTTGAGGTCATGTTCAACAATTGTCTGTTAGTTTCGGGAAATTTATCACTCATTTTATATTGAATTTATAGCTAAGTTAGCCTCTATAAAACATGGCTGCATAAAAAGCACAGGATTGTTAGATTATCTCGGAGTTTATTGTTAAGTCTGGTTTCCTACTATTTATACCACAAAATATGAAGCTGAAAAAGTTGTATATGATATCATTTCGTAACAATTAAATGAAGTATGTTATAACGCAGATTTCTACTGTTGATTTTTAATCGTAAGATTTACCAGTGGTACCAATCAATTTCAGTCATGGAGAGACTGCAGGAAGAGATTCTTCAACACGCCGTTAGATGGCACGGTCAGTTTGATTCACAGTTTCGTTGCCGGCAGAGAGCGCCTCGTGTGACTTTCGGCAAGAAAACGTCATATGCTACACAAACTGTTTAAATAAATATCAGATTTCGACATTTAATTACGAATCGAAAGTCACAGTGTTATAATTATACAGATACTCTGGGCACTGTCAATTTTCTCAAGTATATTTTATATCAAATTGTGTTGTTCAGTGCACAAAGTCTATCACGATAGCAATTCGTCGACAGTTTATCCCCGAAAGTCAAAGTTATACATAATAACCAGAATATACAACAAAGCATTTAGATAATCGTATTCTGGAGGTATCTGGTTCGAATTATGGCAGGGATATTTTAACAGTTTTCAATCGAATTTTCCGGGCAGGGATTTGGGCATAAAACCGTAGTAATTAACCATAAAATAATTAGCTACTGTTTAAAGGTTAATCGTGATTATATGTAAAACATGACTTAACAATCACAACCCTTCATTTTGTATTTATGTATTTCATATGATTCTCACTGCAAACAGCGATCATTTCCTTAAACAGCGTTAACCAGTTGATCTTTGTAATGGTGAAGTGTCGTGTTTTCTTCGCGGTACGGACTGAATTCTTAAGTATTAAGAAACCTCCGGCTTCAGAGGTCTGCGACTGTCTGGAATCGAACAGCGCTTCTTTGTTCTCCGAATAGAGATATTTAGAAAGTCGAAATGAGAGTTACGACACTCTTGCACTGACTGGCCCATGTATCGATGATCAGCGCGTGTTTCAGTTCGCTATTGAGAGAACGAAGTTTGGCGGAAGGCTGGAAGCTCGCGTCAAAGACGTGTCTATCAAAGTCTTTCGTTTATTGGTGATCCCAAGACTGGAATGTGGAAACAGTTGAAAAGCGACGAAAGGGTAAAATGAAGAAAATAAAAGACGGGGATCGGCAAGCAGAAGTAGATCTCGGGTGGAAATGTCGAGAGGAAGAGAGAGAGAGGGAGAGGGGAGAGGGGAACACATCTCGAATCGATATGCCATTAAGTCCAGTCGAACCTGATTTTTTTTTTTTTTTTTTTTTTTTTTTTTTCTCATCGGAGTGGTGAAGGATTGAAATTCAAAGCTTCTGTAAATAGTGCCTGGGGACTTTAGACTGGAGTGCCTGAGGGCGGCAAACGTCGTTCTCGCACAGAAAAGCTTCACGCGTTTTGTTATCGGCGTATCTGAAATCGTAAAACAAGGCGGTGATTGTCGGAAACAGATCAAGAAAATCATATCCCAACTGAGCAAACTTGCTTACCATTTGATAACACCCTTTCTCACTAATGACGAAAAGATATTTCTGGAGACAGGGAGTGCCTTCGGTGTCGCTATTGCACGCCAGAATCTAATACCTCTTTCACGTCAATTCACTCCAACCAGTGCTATACCACAGAAGCCCTCACAGAGCCCTTTTCGACATACGAATCCATACTTTAACGTACAATTAACTCCTGAATTGTGTTGTTTTTTTTCTAATCGGACATGAGTTCGTAATCCGGAGCCTAAGGCTTGGATGATTCTTTGAGGTCTTTGAATTTCTGTACTATCGCTGATTCCGACATTACCCACAATCCACTGCAAATCATCATGAATTCCTACTATGTGAGGGATTGTATATACAAAGGCAAACAACTTAACAGCCTACTGACTCGGCCTTCGCGTCGGAATAATTGAGGCACGTGAAACCTGAAGGGAAGAGACCGCTGGGGAGACCTAGACGTAGATGGGAGGATAATCTCAGGCGGGATCTATGGGAGATAGGAGTTGAAGGAAACTGGATTTTGTTGGCTCAGGACAGGGTCCGGTGGAGGGCTTTGGTTAATTCGGTGATGAACCTTCGGGTTCGGTAAGCCATCTAGTTAGTTAGTTATATACATTACCACGTGACCGTCACAAAATTCTTGTCTAACTTCCTCTATTTTGCTCCTTCATAATGGAATATGAAATACGGACAGGCCTACTCGTTATGTATCTTTATTACCTTGTTTCCCGATAGCAAACTTTTGTCGCGAAAGCAGGAAGAAGTTTAATTACAAGCAGAGTTCACTTTGCCCAATATATCAATGTCAGATCAGGAAAAGAAAGGCAGAAGTCATTGTGTCGAGCGAGACCAGTGTCACAAAGACACAGAACTGTTCCGACTGGGTGCGTAATATTCAGTAGAAGAAAGTACGAAAATTCATGCAGCCATAAAGTCCTTATTTACAAAACGATACTACGCTCAGTTAGACATGCAATTTGCAGTCATTAACGGAACCCTAAGGTTTATTATCGCGTTCACGAGAGCTGGACATTGGTCCCTATTCTGAGCCATACTCACCACACACTAACCTACAAGAGTCTTTTTATCTGCTTCGGAGAGGAGATTACTGGAACTAAGGTCACAAACCCGGAAACTGTCCTGGGTTTGAGATATGGTGGAGATTTTGGGTTTGGGGATATTTTTTTCTATAATATTCAACAACCCCGACGATAAGCGTCGCGCAGGCCGATATGGTGGCTCCCTGCAGTACCACTGCGGGAACTCTGTTATTATTTATTAAGCCCCTCGGCACCGCAGAGGAGAGACAACACTTTACCATTGAGAAGATCGGTTTGTCAAAGAAAATAATTTCTGCTTACACTAAGCGTCATAAGAAACTTAAAACAAATGCAGACTTATAGTTTCTAAAGTAGGTGGGACACATTTAACAACAGGATGTAAAGGGTTAACGAATACATTGTACTTTACAATTTAAACTTCGATAGTTTCACGGCGTTTGGGTTCCATTACTAGGCCGGAAGCAGTAGAAACGAAGATGCCGCATGCTAACCTCCCTTCGGGTCCATCTTACCTCAGGAAGCCCGGAGACATGCCTGGCTAATCATGTCCGATGGCCGCAAGACGCAATAAGACCTCGCAACCGGAAACCAATTTTAGACTCTGCCCCACCCACACCACCGCACAGGTCGGCTTCATGACGTCACGTATCTTATTCGAGTTTCTGTGGAGTATTTCTAGGTTTTCATCAGTACCTCCGGAAAATACTGAGGTAGACGCAGAACAGATACAGTGCGCATTTTTCTGGCTTCAAATGAGAGTCAAGATTCAGATTGTAGTTTCATAGAATTAGAGACAAAAACACGAGAATGTCTCTCAAGCATTTTCCATATTTCAGTTTTGCCAACCGCTTTCTGTGTTATTTCATTCAAACCCGCTTTTACCATTGCTCTTAAAAACGTAATTTTTACACCTCCCGGTATATTAAGTTTTACGGCATTCGACGCGAAGATAAAGCGTCGTGAACTGCGTGATAGCAAATGTTCACAGAATTTAACCCCCTGTTAATTTAATCATCAATAGAAATTTATTCTGATTTTCTATCACTTTTCACGACGACTTTTCGCCACATTTTCAAAGGATTTATTACTTATCTTTACATCCGTTAGAAGACATTTGTTCTTTATATATTGTTCTTGTCTCGTAACTCTATTCTTTCATACCAGATACCCTAAAACTTTCGACAGAGGGAGTGTCCCTCTTTGTGATTCAAACGGTCATACGTTTGCCCTACCGACGTAGGATTGAGACCTCTTTGAAGAACGCTATCGATTTCTGTTCCTATACCTCAAACAACCGCCTTCAACGAGACAAAGAAAGCAAGTTAGCAAAACGGTGGCGCGTCTGAATTATACTCCCTTGATACCCGGATCACATACATCCTGTGATGAAAATGCATGTGGGATCCCCCCCCCCCCCCCCCCCACCGCCCAAAGAAATCAGTGTAGTTCCAGTACCTTCAAACAGGCAGTGCCCATTCCACATATATTAATCGCCTCGTCTTCTCATTAGGTTCTGTAATAACTGAAGTTAATTACTCCTTTGAAGCCGAGGCTCCTATAAATAAGAATAATTCAGTCCGTACCGCACAGAAAACAACACTCAATCATTACTAGGATCATCTTGTTAATGCTGTCTGAGAAAATGTTGTCCACAGCGAGAATTATACGAAACCCGCACATAAATACAAAATGCAAAGTTATTGACTGTTGAAGCACGTGGTAGATATAGTAAGTAAAAGTAAAGTTTGTCCCACTATACGCCATGTAGGCGCTCGGAGGGAGAGGAGGTATAGCTCCTCTCTTCCTTGACCTCGACACTAGATGGGGGGTGAGTGGTCAGCATCACGCCCCGGCCGGCTTTACCCCCGGGAAAGGACCCCGGTACCCATTGTAGAGGAGGCTGGGTGGGCCCCAGAGCCGGTCTGGACGCAGAGGCTAGAGGAAAAATCCTCTGCCCCCGTCGGGGATCGAACCCCGGTCGTCCAGCCCGTAGCTAGTCACTATACTGACTGAGCTATCCCGGCTCATGTAGATATAGTTCCCACTAGAATTTAAGGGTTGATTCCACATAATATGACGTATTCACGTAACAAAGTAAGAAATCACAAAAAAAACATTTAGTTTCTAATTTATGTCCTGCGTATGATATACAATGTCCTGCCACTGGCATTGTATACCCTGTGCAGGTGACAGGGCGTTAACTAAATAAATGAACAAAACACTGGCACTTGCATGTTCTAATTCTTTCTTGTCAGTCTAATTTGTATTCTGTTTCTGTAATTTTAAGTAGACATAAATTACTCGTGCACTGCCATGTATAACGAAGAACAGAACATCTACTGACGTAAAAGTATGGAAGTAAAGCCTCTGTGTTTTCTCTGCGGTACGAACTAAATTCTTAAATATAATTTACGCGATATTAGGCTTTAGAGAGTTAACACAACTGTTGCCAACTTCACGGAGACACATAACATAGATCTTAAATATTTAGATTACCACGAAACAAATATTACTAACAAACATGCAATAATTTATTGGAAGACAAATAATAATATTAATAACAATAACGCAATACATCAAGCCAGGCATAAATAACACGACAGACTTATTAGAACAAAATTCCAAACAAATAAAAATGTAGGGGGTTACACGTTAGAGAAAAATTCCGAAATCTGTTCTTTCTAGAAAACATTAGAAAGTCGTAAGCGCATTTCAGACAGAAGCAATATTCCCATGCAAGAAACATAAATCCAGAAATGTATCCAAACACAACGAAATTGCTTGGTTTCATTCTAATTGGACTATTTTTACACCGCACTTACGAAAGATAAATTTAAATATATTTATTCTAAGGCACTTGATGTATCCCATGCACGCGACTGAAAATCCCTTGTAACAAAACATTACTAATAATAAAGTAATAACGTCAAGTATAATAGCAATAATTAAAACAATATTATGTAAATAAAAATATCGTCACCTAATGACAGTCAATAATTTAAATCAGTACATCATATCTGCTTTTTGACGTAAATAAAAATAAGTGACTCAGTGTATCCCAGAGATAAATTTAAATTACTTTCCTACTGAAAAAGTTGACATGATGATTTCAGTTTAGAAGTTCCAAGCTCATATTAAAACTGTAAGCTTGTAAATTTAACAACGGTTACTCGGGAGATTCAATATTCGTCCGTTCATTTGGCCAATCATTTATTCGAATTTCGTAAAATGCTTGTTTTTGCACATTCCGCTAAAACATTTCAAACTGAGCATGTGACAGCAAGTATCTGATTTTTTCCCCAAGTGCCTCCACCCCTCCCACCCCCAAACAGAAAATAAATGGTAGATCTCTGAAAACCCCACCGGCATGAAGTGTTACTCACTGATACGTGTGTTACTATAAATATGACGAGTTTAATGAACATCGCAGGTTTTTAATTCACAGCTGTGTTCGGGTGGAGAATTACGATATGGCTTATAACAGAAAACTGCACCAAACGTGAAATAAATAAAGGAATTAAAATACCCATTTTAATTAAGATTAGCACTTCGAGGCTAATCAGAGATATTTTTATCTTGACGGCAAAGGATTCCATAAAGGAGATGGGACAGATTTTAACCACTCATATTTCCCTATAAATATAATAATAATGGCTTATAAAACTTTAGAACTCTGTTTGGAAAATGGTCATTTGCCTCTGTCCGTATATCCATATACATATTCGCATTTAAACCGGGAGAGAATTTGACGTGTTTGTATTCCACGTGAAATACGTCACATCCGAACGCCTTCAAAATGAGGCGAAAAAGATTTCATTTACTTAAGAAAAGAAATAAGAAATAAAAGAATTAAAATTAACTAATTTTACAAATTTCGAAGGAAACCATTTTTTTATTGGGGAACTAAACTTTTAAACACATGCAGTGTTATTATTGCCCTTTTAAATGGACGTCAAAACAGTAATGAGTTTACGAATAACTAAAACATTATACACACGTAGACACTGATACCTTCTCTCTAAATAAAAGTTAAAATGGAATTAAAGTTTTAGTTTAAAGAAGAAGATTGCTTATGAGACTGTAATGCTGTCTGCGTATAAACCCCTTTAAACTTTTGAACCGAACGGCAGACTTACGCAACGTTTGTAAGATACTTTTTATACAGTGTAAAACAACAAAATGGTGGTTGCATTAACATTTGACCTTCGTTTTGATAGCTTTAATTAATTAAATGTGAGAGATAGGCGAGCGAAGGTGTATATATTACGACAAAATACCTAACAAACTTGTTCACCTAGGTCTCTTTCGTGCTAGAGGTCTTAAGAGTGAGAAGTCAGAGAAGACTTCAGACGACAGTGACGAGAACTTTTAATCACCCTGTAGAAGAATGTACTTCTTTTAAGAACTGAATTTAAACAATGACGTAGGTTTGCTGTGTGAGCCGTGTTTTGATGCTAAGTTTCTGCAACACCTCACCTAGTCGTAATTTGCCTGAGTGCCTCCTAGCACCCCCAGAGTCTCTTTCAGTAACCACGTTGCAGATCTGAAGAGCATTTCTCACCGACAGCATCTGTTTTCATTCAGAAGAGATTATCATTTGCACGGGCGAGGTCGGCGAACTCGCGCATTCAAATGTCTCCTTATATTTTGCTTCTGCGAAAGTTTGGATTTAACTTAAGGCATATTCGAAAAGAGTTTACTAAAATTAACCTGCGATCATAATGGAGACGTGAATAAAAACACGCAATACGTAGATATCCGGTAGAAAATTTCTTATCTTCACCGTCTCAGATCGTATGAATTTGACAAGATTTTTCTGGACTCCTTTATATGATCATCAACCTGCGTGTCTATTTGATGACAGCCTTCCAAATATTGGTAACTAACTGGCAAGCCATAACCGTGCACAAATATCACGAATATTTACAGTAAAAACGGTATGTAAGAACAAAATTCCATTCGTAACATAAGATACAGAATTCCGTGATAAATAAGATGCATTTCAAACTCATTTTATAATTCTAATAATGCTGTAGTCTTGCCAATCGGAAGTCATTAGCGCAGAAAAATGTTTTACGACTGACGAATCTTACAACACATGCCAAATTTCGTGTAAAATCGGGAGGAAAAAATGGAAAAAGAAGAGAGCAAAATACGAATTTTTTTTCAAAATTTCCAGCATGACAATTGTTTTAACTTCAAAACACATAACGCTATGGGTGCATGCCGTCTCAAATCGTGACGTATAAGTAATACCCGGATGAATCCCTAAGACGCGAGGCCGTGGAGCTAAACAGAAGACAGGCGTTAGTGTGGCTGGCATAGCAGTGCGCGTGTTCAAAGCTACAAAGTGCAAGATGGTGCAGTGAAATACCTGAGCCCCCCTGGGGGTCTGGGGGTGGGGTGAGGCGGTCCGGGGTCCCCGAATTCTCGCGCTTCATCTCGGCGCTGGAGCTCGAGGAAGAGGAGGGTTTAGTGTGGTCATCCACCGCGAGCGACTTCGTGGCGTTCCGTGGCAAAAGCTTCTCTGTAACCAGAAGAAGCAAACAGCTCAGTGGGGCGTTTTTAGAAAGGGACGAGGTGCCCCCTAAAAATTAAAAAGAAGCACCCAAGAAGACAAATTTACATATTTTGGAAAAGGGAAAGTTATTTCTCTAAGAAGAGAGAAGACTGCACAAAAAATAATAAGCACTCGTTAGTGAGTCACGACTACATTTTAGACAAGGAGTAATCTAGAAATAGAAGAAACATCACGAAAATTATAAATTTACTACTGGTCCCTGAGAAATGATTTATCACAGATTCCTGAAATCAAGGCTACATCACTGTTCAGTCAATCGTCAAGAGTGATTAAAGTACTCTGAGTATGAAACCAAATTATGTGAAATGGCTGACATGAAACAGTCACAAAAGCAACAAACCTGCAGACTTACACGCGGAAAGCAAATTGCATCGAATATTTTTCCGCCTGTGGATCCACGGACACTGTCGTGGTAACTGACATTCCACAGTAGTCCACGTACCATTATTCTTCAAATCTGCGTCCTTGAGTAATTCCTTTGGAACGTAACTACCGTTTCTTAAACCCGAGTCATTTCTTTACGCGATCTTCCACCTGAATCCGCGAGTCATTTTACAGGTAAATTAAATTCAATTTGTGACACCCCGAAGTCGCTGCTGGAGTAAATTAACCGACGTTTCAGAGGCCGTTGCTGCCTTTCCCTATGTCGCATTGTTACAACAACGACCTTTAATACATCTTCTGAGTTTGCTGTTACGTTAGTAGTCTTTCTGACGTCATTGCACGTGACGTAGCTTAAACACCTTCGGAATTTTAGTGTACTCCAAACAGAACTCATTTCCTTTCTTGTTAATCTGTGTACACGAACAAATTATCTGTGTGTTAAACGCCATAACACCAGAATTTACCGGAAGCATCACTATAACGACGTCCAGTTCAGTTACTCCGAAGGTCTTGCGTTATGACTACGACGTTGAACATCATCAGCGCGTCGCTTGTGGTTGGCAGATAATCCCTATACCCCGTACCACACTTACCAAAACATCGATCGTAATGACTACGAGTTATTACATTCTTTATCTGTCTGTGGTTTATTTAACGAGATATTTTCAGTAGCTCAGATTATATAGCGTAGAATGATAGCAAAAGTAATGAATAATAAATTGTAAAGGATTTGTAAGGAATCAGTCTTGGCCTAACTTAAGGCTCTATCTGGGTATTTGCATGGAGATCCTGTGGAAAACCACAAAAAGTATCAATCAGTATAGCCGGTCTTAGAGCCAATATTTTAACCCAAGACCTTCCGAATACGAAAAAAGAATGCTAACCACTCGGCGATTATTATGCTTATTATGTTAATGCGTTATATAGGAAGTACATGGTAACATTGACTTCTGGTTCTGGCGATTAAAACCCCCTTTCTGGGTAAAATAAAAAACTATGGAAATGACGTCATACGTGCGATGTGTTAAGTCGATATACGTGTAAGTGGGGTGGGGGGGGGGGGGGGGGTGTTCCTTACTTTTGGCCTTGTTTCTTATTCTATGAAAGGGGCCTGGTGCATAAATTTGAAAATAAAATTACCTGTTGGATGTTAATGTCATGTTGTAATCCATTGCTCTATCGGTGGGGATTTATGACGCAACTTAATTACATGTTCGCATGGCGGGGACATTAATCTCGCGTCGCGTCTCCACAAAGACACAATATCAGGGCATCTAACAAGACTCAGGTCGGAACTCACGAGGGAGAGTAAAACAAGTAATCCTATTTGTTTATATGCGAACTTGATTTATGGAATTAATTCTGGCTGCATAGATTAATTGTGGTATGAGGTACCAATAACAGAGACGAAAAATTAATACAGGATTTGGCAGGAAAACCTGTTAGAAACAGACCACCAGTCAAACCTAGTTGTACGTGAAAGGATAATATTAAAAAGGATATTAAAGACACAGGTTTTGAGGGCGTTGACTGGATTCATGTGACTCAATATAGAGTCCGAAGGCAGAATCTTATGAACACGACAAAGTAACTTGGGGTTTCATAAAAGGCGTTAAATATCTTGACGAGCTCAGCAACCATTAGTTTGTCAATGGTCCAGAATGGATCTGTTCAATTGACAAACTTGTTTAATGTACGTCAAGCTAAAACGTAAAATATCACCCAAATGGACAGCTAACTAATGGCGATGGTAAAGATTCTGTGTCTCACAGGTCTTAACAAGGGGGTGTGAGATCTAGTGAATGCGAAGATCAGAGGAGTTTGGTCACTCTGAAAACGTGACGTCATCGTGAATCCTGCTACATTATGTGGGTCGTGACGCCGTCTTGCAGAAACCAGCGCCTTCTGACACAACATTCCAATGCGACAGAATCGCGTAACGTTGCCAAGAAAGACATAAATTCTCTGAACATACGAGGCAGACTTTTATTCGGAGTAAGCAAATTTCTGTTCGAACATCGTTTCCTCCGACACCCTTCGTCTCCCTTGGAACTATTCCATCAATACGTTTTGTATTCTTGGCTGGCAGATGCTTTCCCAAAATCTAATTTCACATTATTTCGTAACAGATTTAGAATTTAGTGTCTTTCCGTGATTTTTTTTTCCCGTTTGCACTGAAACAACATTCCACGATTACTATCTTTTGAAATATATTCATTACATGTAAGAATCCATTTAACACTAAAACAGAAATAAGGAAACAAACAGATCTCTTTGGAAAGCAGACGCACGCGTACGTAAACCCTCATAGGAAGCGTAATCCTTCGGGCTACTTTACGCCAGCCTAAACCTTAAGCGTACTTAAGTCAATTTGTAATCCAGTGTCTACATAAAACCCGTGTCATCATCTTACCACGGCTACTTTATATTTAGAATACCTCCCTTAATAAATAATAACGTTGCGACAGGCACTTCGATTTAAAATTTGTGCGTTTCAAGAAATTTTGCGACAAGCTTTTCAAGTTTATCTTGAATATATTTGTTACGCAACAGTTCTTAGACGTTCTTGATTATCGTGCGGACATAAGGCGTTAATATATAAGAATAAGTTAGCAGCAGAAGCAAAATAAAAGCTGTCATGACGCACTCTGTTCCGTTAGGGTCAACTGCTCTTTGGTGCTTACTTTACCGACACACCTTACCCTACGACGACTGCGAAGATTGTAATTTCAGATCTTGTTTAAAAAAAAATCGTATAAATGATGTTCGAAACGTCGTTTTTCGTCAGCTCCATGACAAATATATCGACGCTATGAAATATATGTAACTGAAAACGTCGACAAATAAACAATAAATAATTCGGATCGAGACAAATACATCGCATTTCATTCTTTTAATGGAGGTAATTAATTCGGCGAGTGAATATTTCCTCACAAGTAATTATCGTACACGCACGTTTGTGTAAGTTTTTCAAGAAAATTTGATTAAATATTTTTTGGTTTGATACGAATATTTTCTATTGTTCTTCCTGATCGCAGGCCACATATCCTATAAAGTACATTTTAGTGAAAATAATCAACTGTGATATAATCTTGACTGTTGGTACATCGGACCCTTCGAGGAAAGAATGTTAGCGATTTAATGAGAAGACTATCAGGAAAAGAAATACACATTTTCATTTACCAGAAGAAAAATTCTACATGTTAATGAACATTTTAAATACATCAAAAGATCTGGTTCAATGTGACACTGACTTGCAATGAAAAAAAAGTTAAAACAAAATTACATTTCACGCGTTATAACCGAACACAAATTCCAGAAACACGACCCGAAATGTACATTTTATTCTTTGATTAAAACAGCTCCAGGAATACACACGCCTGAACACCCCCCCCCAAAAAAAAAAAAAAAAAAAACGAACTTACCTGGTAATTTCTCTACCATCGCATCGTCTATTATCATCAAGTGACCAAGATTAAACTCAAAGAAAAGTAAACACAAAACATCTACAAAAATATAGAGAAAGCAAATTAAATAAATTTACAGACATTTTACTTGATCGTGGCGTCTCTATGTGACGACGTGTTTAAGCTCTGGCAATTAGGACACGGCCATTACACAGACAATTAACAAAGAAGAGCCCGGAGCTATTCTACTTAAGATGAATGAGGCGCTGGAACCTTCTTTTACTTTCACACAGGAGCTACTCAAGTATTTTAAAAAAAAAAGGCTAAGTTCAGGAAGTTGCGAAGACGTTATTCAACAGAAGTAGACCTCTTTTGTTTCATAAAATTAAAGGAGAACCCCAGATGACGGTGTAATTATTATTTAAAAGAAGAAAACATGAAGGCAGACCTCTGCAAATGTAATAATATTTCTGTTGTGGAAATAAATACGCGTTTTTTAACACATCGCCTGAAGCACGGAGCTGCATCCCACCCTGAACGTCGTGAGACGACGCACAGAGACCTCATCTAAAACACAGCAGCTTTACACCAGCGGATAGATCACGCACAGGAAAAAAGAATGGTGGTAGAAATTCGTGTTTAGAAACCCCAAAATCGAAACGTTTAAAAATGACGTATCTGTAATGGATTTCACAAATTTTTAACACACGCTGAACTAGATAACGCAGTCGGACCTAAAAATATTTTAACGTGTGTATTCATATTAAATAAATCAAAATATTAATTACAAAAAACATAATAACAATACCCAGAAGTAATTAATTAATTGAAATAAATTCGGAATATGTAAGCATTATTAACTTACAGCCAATACATACAAAAAAGGTGGAGAATGTATACATCGCGAAACATTGTTTCACCTCAGAAAGTCGGGACTAATCAAAATGCCCGTATTTAACAAGCCAGAAATCGAACCGATGTCCCGTGAATCTCGGGTCAAGTCGCACTCACCTTCTTTATTTGCTCCGCTGCTACGCACCTCCGTTGCCTTCGGTGGTGACGACGGCATCGGAATTTCTGCAATACAGAGCGTTGAAAATAAGCGCAGACACTTCAAATTTAAAATTATATCGTCAGAAATATGCCTATGCAATGCACTCACTTTTGAGGAAAAGTTTCTACCAAGCGTTTGTTATTAGCATAATAATACCATGAAAAATTAGATCCTGAAGGGAAGAAACCACTCGAAAGGCCTAAGTGTACATGTCAAGATAATATTAAAACGGATCTTAAGGGCGTGGATTGGATTAATATGGATTAGAGTAGGTACCAGTGGCGGGATCTTGTAAACACGATAATGAATCTTTTGGTTTTATAAATGGGCGGGCACTTCCTTGACCAACTGAACTATTAGATTCTCAGGGACTAAAAACAAGTAGATTTTCTATTTAATCGTTCCAATTTGTAAATCGATCATTCGATGCGGAACGTGAAATGATATTTTAAATATTTTATATTTTATTATCTTATTAAAAATTGTGATTTGACGGAAAATATTAAAATATTAACCTAATTCACAATATGACGCAAATATACTACCTTAAGTAATTTTTCGTGCTTCAAATGTTTGGCTGGCTGTAACGATTTATGAATGAATCGAACCTGCGACCCGAAATTCATTCACCATCGTAGTTTGGTGAGCAGTCACTGGGGTTGCCATGGAAAATGACACAATCGAGAGGCACGTAACTTCTGGACAGTCAGCCATGTTGAGCGGAAACATCGCGAACAGGAAGTCAGTATTAATAGGATCGGGGAAGTAGAAGTCACGGGGCGAAGCTGAAACAGAACTGGGCTCAGCGGAAGAGCAGCTTGACTCAAGTTTTGAACGATGCTGATAACATCCGGCGAGTGACAATTCTGCTTTCTCTTATGCGCTCCTAAAAACTGTTTCGGAATTTTCTGTATTGGAGTACATCTTGGTCTAACAGATGCTTTAAACATGCCCACAGATGCACAAAAGTTGCTTATAAGTCAATAATTCCAAATATGATTATGTGTGAATCTTTTAAGTTATGTGGACTGTGGTGTTTTATACCAAACGATTATGCGGTCGGAACTCTGTTCAATAGGAAATAAAGCAGTATGAATTCTGCCAGAGGGTGTATCAGTTTAGAAAGTCTACGGAATCGTATTCACGAACAAATTATGAGCAGGTTAAATTCGGCGAATGCTTGCTACAAGCGTAAAGATCAAAGTACACGTAACTATAATTTTGGCTCCTGTTTCGTATGCGTGTGAAAATTTGTCTCTTGCGCCAAAGAACGCTGTGAAAGAGATAGGTATTATATATAGCACGCATTGAGGAGATTAACTTATATTTTGCCTGGAGTGCCTGAAAATAAGAGAGCAGTCGGAAAATTCAGGAGTACATATGATAATATTAAAGTGGATGTTAGGGAAATTTAATTGGAGAGTTTGGACTGGATTTAGGTGAACACGGTAATGAATCTTTGGGTTCCATGAAAGGAAGGGAATTTCTTGATTAGTTCAGCGTACTATTTGGCTTCTCAAGAACGATTGTGCTGCATGTCAGTACTTACCGTAAAGCCGGATGGAGCCCTCTGTCTCGCCCAGCGAGTTCTTGGATATGCACCTGTAATTGCCGAAGTCCTTGTCTCGCAGATCCCGGATAGTCAACTTCATGTGCGCTCTGTAGCTGTTCGCCGTGGTCTCTGTGTCGTATTTTCTTGTCGGAAGAATCATCACGTTCTCGTAGACCCAGTAACTGATGGCGCGAGGGTACGCTTCTGTGTGACAGTCGATCGTGACGTTGGTACCGGCAGGGGCCCCTACCAGTTGGTTCGGCACCCATATCATCGGCGAGACTGGAACACAAGACAGATGCCGGGAAGTTGTCGAGACAAGTGCCAAAAATCTACTGATATGAAAGTCGATTCCAGCCGACATTAGGAGCATGGAGCAGTGTCACTGCTCGGAAGCTGAAGTTCCCACCTGTTATGGAACCAAAAAGTTCATTACCGTTTTCACATAAAACTCGTCACTGTGTCCTACATTTAAGCAGATGAATGCATGAGATCTGAGGTTCTCAAGGCGTCGAAGATGTCGAGATGATGGCCTTCTGGGTTGTGGCGCATGGGCCTGTAGGTTTAACGCTGAAGATGGAGGAATATGTCTCTCCGAAACCTTGGTATCAACCTACGTGTCCACACAGCGCCACAACCCACAAGATCACCGACGTCAGATAAACAAAGTTCACACTGTTACCAGATACCACGGTTCATACACATACAAAGCAAGTGATAAAAGTATTAAGATCACAGCGCAGTGTAGTCTCATGTAAAATTACCGACGTTTCGGAGATTACTGCAATTTCACTAACACAAAATTAATCTGTTGCGATTTTGGAAATTATACTTTCAAACTAAGGGCATACAAAATTTATGTACACAAGTACAAAGGAAAGAGAACACTCGGAAGACCTAGGCATAGATAGGAAGATTAATATTGAAGCACATCTTAAGTAAACATGGCGGACCGGGGGCTGGCTTTATAGGCAAGGTTACGAACATCATAAATTATAAGAGGCGCGGAATTTGGTAAGATAAGCGACTAGCAGATTCCCAAGAAGGTATTTATTTTGTGTAGTTAGTTGGAATAAGCAGCATAGCAGAATATGAAACTCTCCCAATCTCATTAACCTAGTTTCTATTATGGCAAGTTCTCGCCATTCTAATATTTTAGCTTGATTGGGTGTTGTTTTGTCAAGGTTAGGCAGAAACTGCGCTCAGCCACTTAATTTGTTAATGGGTCGGTGAATCGCGGTTGACAAGACATCCCAGCGCCACCATTCATATTAATGAACAGTCTCAAAAATACCTTCTCAGGAGTAACTTTCATTTTCGAAAAATATAAAATGTAGGAGATAAAGAGTCCCAAAGAGGGGGGGGGGGGGGGTCCGTGATGTCAGTTGTATGACAGGAAGCTGTTATGCAATTGGACGGAGTGGTAGCTGTCAGTAAAACAATACTAGCAGACTGCGAAGCGTGCAGTCTCACTTGCAGGGGGAGATAAATACAATTTTGGTCCCGTTTTGCAGCTGACAGAATTCGAAACACTGCTGATAACAGTACGAGAACTTCGCACATTAGCGAAACGCTTCGTAAACTAAAACCCGCTCTCAGCATGAAAGGCTAAATTAAACATTTAAACTTTATCGCTCACAAATGTAGCGCTTAGTTAATGCTCTTCAGAATATAAGAATTATCTGCAACATTGCACAGGGGGCAGTAGAAACTCCACACGACTGGGTCTGACCACAGGACGTGCCTCTTCGGCACGAGGGGACGTAGCGTGTTGTCATGTGATAAAGCTGATTATGCTGTATCTTGGGGCTAAAATGTGTGCTCTCAGTTCTTCAGCGCTTAACGCTGTTTCATGGACGTAAAACAATGCAGTTACACAGAGGGTACGACTTAAAGGTCTGGCGTGCGTGTGTATATATAAGGGTAAGTTGTAATATTTGAGGTTCTCACGGCGGGGAAGATGTTGATGTTGGTCTTCTGGGTTGTAACGCCGTGTGGACGTGTAGGTATATACCAGCATTTCGGAGAAATATGCTCATTCTATCTTCAAATCCGAAAACAATATAAAAGAACTGATAAGATTCACGCCAGAGATGTTACATCATAAAACTTACCAGCTACAACACTGCCTTCATAACCCTACGCTATCCTTCATTCCCGTTTTGTTTTGTTCAAAGCAAACTATTTGTTTCCACATGTCAGTCACTGCCGAAAGGTGGTTCGCTGTCCACAGATAGCAAACCGCGTTACACACGTCTCTTACAGAGATGATTCGGATATTTGAGAAAATCCTCTTTTAAAATTTCATGGAACGAGGGGACAAGAATAATAAGGAAAGATAATGCAAATAAAATGGGGGGGATCAGCAAACTTATAACACGTTAGGGGAGAAAATGTTACAGTGATTTCTAACATGCCGCTCCACTCCAAACGCCATTAAAAGGAGAATGTATGGCTAAGATGTGACGATAATTGACACCAATGCTGAAATGAATAATGAATTCCAAATTCGGTAAGTGAATTACAATTATCATGATGAATTACTCCTCTTTGTGAGCTGGAAATAAGCAAATTAACACGAAATACAGGTTTTTAAATTGCAATTTACATTGTCAGTGGCAAACTGAATTTGAGTTCCACCACGAATACGTAACTATATTTTTTCCCCTTAAAATATGCATATACTTTTAAAAACTCTGTAAATACTGACCCCATAATGACAGAATTGCTTTTATGATTAACAGTAATAAAAACAATAATAATAATAACACAATTTAATTAATTTATTGTGTGCTTGGCGGTAGTCAAACAAGGCCAATTACAGCCAAGCACAAAAACAACAGGAATCCTTGTTATTATCTTCGCCTAATTTAGCCGGAATATTCCTAAAACTACCCTCTCTATCCTCACGTGGTTATTCCTTAAAAGTTGTTGAAGGAACTTAGCACTCAGGCCTACATCATGAAACCACTTAGCATTTCCATCTGGTGTCTAATAACGCGTGAAGCCTTATCTCCGCACTGCCTACAGTCCGTACACTAAAGCTCAGACACAGATGTAAATTTTTCTATAATACTATATTTCTTGTGTACAATTATAATAATGATAATTTACACCACATAAACTTCTTTTTCTTCTTATTCTTGTTATTACTAATACGCTACCTGACTGGCGCATAGGGACCCAAGATACTAGAAACCCTGAAAAGGCCATGACCCCTCCCACCCCGTCTCGTGGGGCCCAATAAGCCTCGCACCTTAAAGTACAACAGCGAAACAACGAAGCATGCACCACGCGGTGTCTGTAATCCTGTTAACGCAGACATTCTGCAACAAAGAATATCTACATGCGTGTTTTAATGGCACACTACCGCCCTCTGTGAGTGCCGTAGAGAGCCTAAATAGATTACAGGGTGTTTAAAACAGTAGGACGCAACACTTCTCTATTACCGCGTCGTCTGGGGCGTGGGTCTTGACCATCGTGGGTCCCAATTCCACCGGAGGCTTGTCTTCGTCTTCCTGTACTATTCTGTGTTGTTGCTCTGCCTTGCGACCGGCCCATCCTTTTTCTAACTGTCGAGATAAGGTTAAAGAAAATGATGTCTTTTGGGATTTTGCGCCGTGCAGTCTGGTAGAAGTTTATCTACGTTTTAGAAGTCCATCATCAGGGCGCTCATAAACCTGATGATAAAGACAGGAAGCGCCTCTGAAACGTCGGTAAATTCTACCAGAATACCTAACCTAACACCTCTTAACATCCAAGAAGACAGTCATCTTTAAAAACGTCGCTGGGAGAATCTGAAATCTTAATGTTCCGTAACGATACAAAAGGAAGCGGGCAAGTTCCTGTGAGAACTGCAAAACCACGGCGAAGGGATCGCCACAAAGGCCTACTTTCCAGTTTTATACTGAGTTGGTTAAGAGCGCTTCAGACACCTCGTATAAAATACAACTGATTTTCACAACAGAAGTCAGTATTCTTGACGTTAGTGACACATGGGGTAGCCTTGTATGTCTATCAATTTATGTAACGACGATATATCAGCTGCATGAGTTATAGGTATCTGATGAGAAAAGTCGTGAGCTATTTCAGCTACCATACCAGCCTTCTGCCTAATTTAAATTGGAAGAACCACGAATAATCAAAGTCAACTCAGCTGAACTCAGGACCGAGGACTTAGCCTGTTACTTCCAGAATACGAACCAAGCTTTTTAACCACTCAATTACGACTTTGGGCGAGACGGCCTCCGACAGTACTTTCACATACAATTTCACGAAAATTAAAATTATGGGGGACGTACAGTCACACGTGTGGTGTATGACATTGTAGGTCTCTGTTTAGTTACGTTGTAAAGTGAAGTTAATCACACAGAGGAAATTTGTATTTCAAATTCGACTTTTGTATAAAATGGAGGACAAACAAGTAAAAGTCAAAAAAATATACGAGTCATTTCCTTGAATGTGGGGGGGGGGAAGAGGAGTTCAATTTCGGAAAGAAACTGGGGCTGCTGGAGCTGCATCCCCCGGGAGGAATAATTCTTTCTCGCCATCCTCATAGTGTGTAGTAGCATGATCAGGGCGGCATCCATTTGCAAGGACGAAGAATCAACGCCAGTGCCAAGTGGAGTGAAGATGAGGATAGACAATAACAGATCGAGAGAGATGCTGAGGCTGAGAGGAACAATGAGGTATCTGACATTTTCAGGACTCTCTAAAACACTGTAGGACTAGGGTAGCATGTAGCTTCCTTCAAGGGGTGAAATCTTGGTCATTCTAGTGCCTGAAAAGTTGTGTTTAGTCGCCATAAAGGCACACCATTGGGACCCCATCTTGAATCAGCTCTGTCCAACGCGTATCTTCAGAACTTATGTCCTTAAGTTAAATTGACCGTCCCATCACAGTCGTTTTCCTAATGGCTTCTTGTTACGATGAAGATGGCTGTGTTCTGGGTTGTTGCACCGTCTACCTGATGGAATTCATTCGGCGATTCAGAGGTGGTTACTGCTACCATTAACTTAGAGATTAATATCTCAGATACGTCGATAAACATCTGCGAGACTAAATGCTACAAAACCCATATTCAGATTCACAGCCGTGGAAACCTCAGATCCCACAAATTAGCAAGTACTTCTGTTAGCAGATTTCGTGCTGCATGCACAACCTATCACATCATCCCTTTAATCCACACGCGCACTAAACTCTGTACAGAAATATATCGTGCAGTGTTGCCACATTTATTCTCGTGTACTAAAATTTTCATAATTATTATAGCTCAGATTCCT